ACACACATTATAAGAATATTAAGTATAATTATCTCTAAAAAATCATATTCACATAATCACATAATTTAATCTTCTTCTACAATTAGAATTCTTCAAATCAATTTCCATTTCACCTATAAATAAATTCATTAACTATACTTCATTATCTCCATCTCAATTAAACTCCAAAACAAAAATTACTAATCTTTTTTTCTTCTCAATATGAAGTTAAATTTTTTTATCAACGTTTGGAGTTTGATGTTTTTGTTCATTTTTTGTGCTAGTAAATTGGAGGCTCGACGTTACGTTACGTGGAACGATTTTAAGATAAATTTTCCTAATATTGATATAAGTAATGGAAATTTACGTAAGTCTCATGGTATTATCGTAGTCGATTCGAGGGGTTACGGAGACTCCGTTACTGTACAAGGTGCAATCGACATGGTCCCCGAATTTAATTCTCAACGAATCAAAATTCTTGTTCTTCCCGGAGTTTATAGGTATTTATCTGTCTATATGTATCGATAGTATAAAAAATTACGATATTTTAGATTTAAAATAGTATGCCTTTTTTTTTTTACTTTATTCCTTTGTTAGATATGGAATCACACATATGAATAGTCATGATTGGTGTTACTCTTTTTTTTTAATTAAGTTTTTTTAAAAAAATAAAATAATTTCAAGTTTGATATATTCGAAATTAATATATGTTCTCTTTTTGTAACATATTTAACGCAAATATTTATATTGGTATGTAATAGATACATACCTATCTATATAGACTATATCTACTAGTATTAAGTATTTAAAAAATAATTATTTTTTTTTAAATTTTGTTATGCAGAGAAAAAGTGTTTATTCCATCTTCAAAGCCATTTGTTTCATTAATTGGTGATGAAAATCATCCTAGAAGAACAATAATTACTGGGAATTCTAAGGCATGTGATAAAGATCAATATGGTAATGAAATAGGCACTGTTGCAACAGCCACAGTTACTGTGGAATCTGATTATTTTTGTGCAACTGGCATAACCTTTGAGGTATACTCGAAATTCGATACAGAATGAACGTGATCTTATAATTAAATAGATTATTCAATTCAACTCACGTAACGTGTTTTTTATTTTGTTTAGAATACTGTGGCTGCAATGCGTCAGGAAAATGATAAGCAAGGTGTGGCATTGAGATTAGCTGGTGATAAAGCAATGTTATACAAAGTTAGAATTTTGGGATCACAAGACACACTTTATGATGATAAAGGATCACATTATTTTTTCAAGTGTTACATTCAAGGAACTGTTGATTTCATTTGTGGCAATGCTAGATCACTTTTTCAGGTTCTTTGTCTCTTTTTATCTTTTTTTTTTAAAAAAAATAAAATATATCGATGGTATTGTTCATGTCAGCTTTGTTGATATTCGAATATGCTATTAGTACTTGTTATTTGTCATCAATAGTATTAGTAAAAGGTTAGGTTACTCTGTCTGTCGAGACTTTGTATGAATAGAAAAAAATGATCACTACTAAAAAAAAACACTACATTCCTATTGAAAAATGTTACGTGGCTCTTCTTAGAGATATTTTGATCGAATTGGCTAGGATGAAAAAGAAAGTAACGTTTTCATTCAGAAATATTAAAAAGTTTTTCATTATTCAGTGAGAAGAATCTGTTTTGACTGAGTTAGTACAGTGGTTCGTGATCGGAAAAAACTTTTATTTTTAGTAATGTGGATCCAGGGCACCTTGTTGATTGACCTACTCTGGTACCAACTGTTATAGTCTATAATTTGAGAGAGCACTCGTTCAATTTTTTATTTTATTTCTAGTAGTATGTGTTCAGGTTACCTTGTTGATTGACCTTTTCTGGTACCAATTGTTATAGACTTTATAAGAGCTCTCACAACCACATGCTTAAAGCTCGATTGACTTACTCTATCATTTAAACAAGCCTCACTCGTTTAATTTTTCTCTAACAGAGTTGTGAACTACATTCAATAGCTCCAGATAATGTGGGAATATCAGGAGCAATTGCAGCACATGAAAGAGAATCACCTTATGATGATACTGGATTCTCATTTGTTAATTGTAAAGTTACTGGAAGTGGAAGTGTATTTTTAGGCAGAGCTTGGGGAGAATATTCAAGGATTATTTACTCAAAATGCTATTTTGATGCAATTATTCATCCACAAGGATGGTCTGATTGGGACGTACCATCTAGACAAGAGTAAGATTATTATTTTTTTTCGATATCGTCATTCAATTTCTATTTACTTTTTTATTTATTAGAACATAAATAGTCATTGTACCATTATATATACTTGCTAATCAACAAGAGTCCTTATAGTAGTTGTTGTTACGCTTTTCTCGTGAGCCTTGAATATATAATAAATAATCATATAAAATTTAAGTCGTTAAAGACAATAAGTACTATAAGGACTCTAGTTGATTAGCAAGTATATAGAATTGTACAATGACTCTATTTATGTTCTTATAGCACCTACTTCAGAACAGTTTGAGATATACAACATTGGGAATTAGGTATGAAGTTACATATGATTAAAGTTAATACATATGTATATGAATTTCATACCTTTTTCGACTTAGCTTCGAACATGTATATCTAAAGTTATTTTGAGGTGGATAGATGTGGTAAGTCAAGAAAATGTCTGAAGTTATATATGACTACAGTTAAAAAATATGTGACTGAGTTTCTTTAGACTCGTATATCTAAAGTTATCTCGAAATGTCTTTTTCTTAGGCATGCATTTTTTGGAGAATATAGTTGCAAGGGAATTGGAGCAAATAGAGCAGGTCGAGTGCCATGGTCTAATGATTTCACTCAACACCAAGCTCAACCCTTCATGAAAAGAGACTTCATTGGTGGAGATGAATGGCTAAGAATTTAGGTTAATTATGTTTTATTACTTTTTGACAAAGTGCAGCAAAAAAAAATTAGGCTAAATTACCTTCATTTTTATATTTTATTGGTAGGATATAATCAAACATTTTGTGTCATACCCTTTCTTTTATTCCTATTTATTTATATACAAGTGTGTTCTAGAATGTTGGTAGTATGAATGAATATATCAATATTGATAGTATGAATGAATTTTTTAGTATTGGATGTGAAAAAGTATTGAGATTTTACTTATGTTTTAACTGTTTATATTTTTTTTTGTTACCATTTAATATTTGAAGTTTACATTAAAAATTGTATACCATTGAATTTATTTAATGATGACACTCTAACAAGATTTTCTTCGAAAACTAACCAAATAAAATAAGAAAACCCAGCACCATCACATGATTTCATCTCAAAATATTTATGATAAATAAGCTCTGTAGCTAACCGTTAAATTTGAGGAGCTATCTCTTATCCACGGGTATAATCTTGGGGAACAAAGTATTTAATAAGCACTTGGGTTGGGGACAAAAAAAAATATTAGATGCATAAAATATTTTATGTCAATGTAATTATTAAATATAATTGAGATAATGCACAAATACTCCCTTCTATCCCTTTTTGTTCTACGTAACATAATCTTATGGGCCCAACGCTACTTGACTTTTTCTTTCAAGCTAGCGCCACGAAAACCGAAAAGGGTAGAAAGTTTCTTATAAAATAAGTTCAGGGATAATACGATCTTAATATAGTATAAGTATGTCTCTACGATTTCAGGCATAAGTTAATTTTCCCAATATAATTTTATGATGGAACTTATACCTGTCATAGGTCACAGTAAAAAAAAACTTTAATATTGTATTAAAATTATAAATAATTTATATGTAATAGTAACAATTTATTTGATAAGTTAAAATAAATTAATTATTTATGGCATTTGGCTAATTTCCAATTGTATTTCAATATTAGTTGACCTACTTGGAATCAAATATTTGTATAAAATGTGTCACTTAGACTTTGGACTCTCGAAATATTTAATTTATCCTTATTAAGTTATAAATTTAGCAAACGTAAAAGAACTTGTGAAATAATAAAATTCACATATTATAGTTAGAAGGAAAGCCAAAATTTCACTATTATATATTCTAAATTTAAGAAAAACGATAAAAATTAATTATAATTGAGTTCTAAATCTAAAATTGTATATATTCAATAAATGTCTTGATATAAATATACTGAATTCATCAAACACGTAATTAAACTTTTAACTTCGCCTTTGATTATAATATATTAACTCGATTATTTATAATTAACCCCTTGGAAGACATTTTATTAAAAAAAAACTCGAAATTTATGATTAACAAACGATTTCTCGTACGGTAGTGTTAAAAATGAATAGACGTGCTTTTTTTTTTACTATAAATTTAGTTTCAAAATAAGCGAAACAAAAAGAGGCGCCGATCGTGAAACGTCACGCTTTACCTCACAAATATTTTATTTCATTTCCATCAAATTATATTAATTTATCGCAATCAAATAATTTAACGAAGTAATTAATTTTACCAATTAACCATTCAAGTTATAAAAGTTTATCATTTTTTTATTTTTCAGATTTATTTTAGTATATTGTACTCAAGTCGAATGACTTTCAAAATCAATCTTTGTCTGAAAATAATCTACTTATACTTTATTCTTTCAGATTTCACGAAGTATATTGTTACGTTATTATTTTTATATCTATTTATGTGATGAAAGTATATTTTTATAAGTATAAACACAAAAAAATATATATTTATTGATTTGATATAAACACGAAACGTCAGTAATTATTTCCATTCGTAACACCCCATACTCTTTTCTTTTCCCAATTATAGTTAAAACACGTTGAATTAAAAAGCAAGAGAAAAAGATGCTGATTTTAGCCTATGTTTTTTTTAAATAAAATAAAATAAAATTACAATAGCGGTTAATATGCAACTTTTCGAAAAAAAAACACACCTCTTGAAATTTCACAACTACTTCTTAACAAAAACTACCCCTCAATCTTTACACATTTCACTCTCAATTTTATCTCTTTATTATTATTATTATTACTAATAATACAAACTTTAGAGGTTCTTGAAATTATGTAACATTGCAAATCCAACGTGCATAATTTCATAAATATATCTCTACTATGTTGTATAAAAACCATAGGCTCTTATATTTATTGCCTTCACTTCTTACTTGCTTTTTTTGCCCATAACTTAACTCTTCATATTTTTTGGGGGGGGGGGTTTATGATGAATTTAAGTGATTTTAGCACTTTATTTGTGATTTTTTTCTTGATTTGTGGTGATCAATATTCTTGTTACATTATAACATGGGATGATATGAAGGTAGATTTAAATAAAAATGAATTTATACGATCGCGTTCTTCATCTTCATCTTCATCTTCGTTAAAAAGAGTTATAGTTGTTGATCAAAATGGTAAAGGAGATTCAATTAGTGTTCAAGGTGCAGTTGATAAAGTTCCTTCAAATAATTTACAAAGAGTTATTATTTACATTCATCCTGGAACCTACAGGTAATTTTTTTTTTTAATTATAAATATATAGTATAGTTTTTATCAACTTTTTACTATGATTACTCGTGTTGTTTGGATTCTTCGAAAATATGTGTTAAATTCTCCAAAATAATATATTTGGAGAGTTTCTATTTTATTAGACTTTTTATCAACTTCTTACTCTGGTAATTTTTATTTAATTCAGACTCTTCGAGAATATTGTTGAATTCTATAAAGTTAAATATGAATATATATTTTTGAGTCTGAACAACATAGATTAGTTCATATGATGGTCACGAGGACTAATCTAGGGGTTTAGTAAAATTTAATAGCTTTGAATTGAGTTCTTTTATAACTTTTTTTTTTCCAGATAACTTAAATTTACTTTCTTGTCTTGATTATAAATATTAAAAGCTCATGTATTGATTCATATATGCATTTTTTAAAATATTTTTTTTGCATTTTTTAAAGTTGGTGTGAAGTTAATTTAAGCTTGAGGACGTGGGTTTATACTAAAAAATAGTTGACAGTTAATAAAATGGTAGTGGGTTAACCCACCAATAAAATTACTTTTGTGCACTGATAAAGTGAAAATATATATTTTTAAAAGAATTATAAATTTAATATTTTAAAGAAAACTACGTGTAAATATACTTTAGGAAAATTTTGATAATGTAAAGATTATTTACAGCTTACGGATTTAGTCTAACACAATAAATTTGATATAAACCTAACATTTTTGTCTTTCAAAAATCATGATATATATGCATATTATTAATTTAGAAATTACTTTACTAATTTTTTGAAAAGATCGAAGTTTGAATTTATTAATAAACTTTAAATTATAACTCCGTCTTAGAATGATACGTAACTTCAATGAACATAGTACTCCTTTTTTCAAGTCAGCCCATGATGTGTTGTGTTGAAATCTTATTTTACGTGTGATGTCTGAATATTGTCAGTTTAGTATCCGAATATTAAGTTATGTATATATAGTAAATGTTAAATGTGCTTTCAAACTTTTTTGTATATTTACCTTTCATATTTTTAAATGTTTTAGTGAAAATTTCGATTCCGTTACTTATGTATATTTTATTTTGTAGAGAAAAGGTACATATACCAGCATCAAAGCCATTCATATCATTAGTTGGTGATCAAAATCAAACAACTAGAACCATTATTTCTGGTCATGATAAAGCCTCTGATACTGACCAATATGGTTCTATTTTAGGCACTTCTAGAACTGCCACACTCACTGTTGAGTCTGATTACTTTTGTGCAACTGGCATTACTATCGAGGTATGTACGTACGTTTTATAAGTTAAACTTTTCTATAACAGTTTCGTTTTTTTTGTTGTTGTTTTTGTCATGATTCGACTCGATTTGTGATTATTTTTTTTTGGCAGAACACAATAATTCCAGATCCTAAAGGTGTTGGAATGCAAGGAGTGGCATTGAGATTAAATGGTGATAGATCAGTTTTGTATAGAGTTAGAATATTGGGATCACAAGATACACTTTTAGATGATGCTGGATCACATTATTTTTACCAATGTTATATTCAAGGATCTGTTGATTTCATTTGTGGAAATGCTAGGTCACTTTATAAGGTACTTACTGCCTACCTATCTACTAATGTTTGCTCGGACTCACCAATAATGTTGTTGTGCCTCTGTGAAATATGTATTACTCTGACACGCGTTATCGACCCGTTGTCATTTTCTCTACTTCCATTCTTCTAAACTTTTCGACTTGTTTTTTCTTTTGTATATTGTCAACAGAATTGTACTCTACATTCAATAGCCAAAGGGTATGGAGCAATTGCAGCACAACACAGAGATACAGAAGATCAAGATACTGGTTTCTCTTTTGTTAATTGTAAAATCAAAGGAAGTGGCAGAGTCTTTTTGGGCAGAGCATGGGGAGAATATTCAAGGATTATATATTCCAAATGTGATTTTGATCCTATTATTGATCCAAAAGGTTGGACTGACTGGAATCAACCATCTAGGCGCCAGTAAGACTCGAAACTTCTAATTCAGAATAGAGATATCAGATGTCTGATAATGACAAATAGGTATTTAGTGAATTTTGAGTATCATGGATAATAATGTCTGTAACACAACCCCTTTTGGTGGATATTGACAAGTCACCAAATACTACGAGTAAGCAATGATCTTCTTGAGATCGCTTAGTCTTTGAAAAACGACTTTTTTCTGTGTTTGCAGGCATACAGTGTTTGGAGAATATCAGTGCAGGGGCAGTGGAGCAAATAGAGCAGGTAGAGTGACATGGTCCAAGACTCTCAATCAATCTGAAGCAGAACCTTTTTTGGATGTGAAGTTCATAGAAGGACAACAATGGCTCAGACTCTGAACTTTCACAATACAATTTTCTGTGTGCTATTATGCAAATTCATTCAAAAACAGAACTAAATTGGCTAATGAGCCCTCAATTTTGAAATAGACATAGGAGCGGCTCAATAAGATCGGTGGCCTAAAGCGATATTGTGTCTCAATGATTTCACCATAAAATACTGCATTTACAACATGCAAGGTTCATAGTATGTATCTGTCTATTACACTGTGCGCAACACACTTGCAAAACAATTTGACTCGATAGAGGAACGTTACAGATATTGTAGAAGATCCTAGTAATTAGAGAGTTTATAATTTGCTAAAGCATCTCCAGATTCTAATGAAGTAGTGGGAACTAATGATAACCTGTACACCTAAGACACTCGATCCCTAACACTACGAGCAAACCTCATTCGATTTCCATCTCTATGTACAGTTGAACAGCATCAGTACCTGGCAACAAACTGGAATCTGTTTCGGTGGTAATACATCACGCCACTATATCCATTACTTCTGTCTCGCATTTCCCCCCATCAATCTCAGGTTCTGATGATTTTTCCACATTGCTGTCCTTGTCAATATCCGTGTTGTAAGAATCATTATCATCGCTAAGTTGGCAGTCTAAGTCATGCTTGTCGCTGCCACTGCTGCTGCTGTTATTACAATCATTCTCATCGGATTTGTTTTCAGTTGCGTGCTTCTCATCCTTAATCAAGTCTATATCTCTAGAGGAGTTATCAGTTAGTCGCTTTTCTGTAATGTCATCTTCTTGCTTCTCATTATTGACACCGATTGAATGTTTTGAATGGTGATCAACTGATCTTGCTTCTGTAGAACCACGAGCAGCTTCTTCATCCACACTACTCGCGTGAATTTTATGATCCATAGTACTAGCTCGCTGGCGCTCTGAATTAATACTTGATGATACAGAAATCTTGGTTTCTTGGATCAAAGATATCATTGAAAGAATGTCTCTGTTTGTCTCGATATCTACCCATCGATCTCCCACCCAATCCCTTGAGATTCTTAGATTCTTCCTATCTATATTCAAGAACATCCTCTCACCTGATAACAAAAGCGGAGAAATAGTTTATGAAGAAAACCAAGGAAAATGTTTGCTTAGCACTAGCAACAATATTGAAAAACAAAACTCACCAGGAACATAAACTCTATAGGTTTCCTTTTCTGATTTGTCTGCGTCGACAATTATTCCTTCCCACCAACCATCACTCCACCAGGCATCAATAGGTGCTCCCACATCAAAGGCAAGATCTTCCAGGTCACAAGAGCGGGAAGGCCTGATTGTTGGACGGTTAGAGTTTCTCATTCCAAGTTTATCAGGCTTGGCTAGTCTAAATGTAGGGATCCATTCCTAAAAAATTGATGAATGTGTAAAAATGATGTTAGTTTTCAAAACGTAACAATATTAACAAAATTTCTAGTTCACCTTGGTCCAGAATGAAAAAATCATATTTCTCTCTGAGTTGAAGTTTTTTAACATGTAATGAAGTATCCTGAAAAAGTGCTGGTGCATACCTCAAGGTTTCCACATCCATCTTCATCCTTAATATCATCATACTTTATCTTCATCTGTCTCCGGGATATTTCCACAATAGTGCATCTGAACCAGCAGCCACGGATCCCACTATCTTGGCTCAGACATTCTATCTTCTCGTTAACCACTAACTTAGGAGCATACCAGAGCTCACTTCCAACATGCTTATTGGAGTAAAATTTCCTGCTTAAAAAACCATTTTTGAACTTCTTGTAAGACTCTTCATATGCTGTCATCTGATGCTCCTTATACTTCTTTCTTGGCCTTTTAGCTCCAACTTTTACATCATCCTTGGCACTAAATTCTTCGTCTTCAAAGAAATCTGGACTGAAACATGAGAAAATTGATTGATCAAGGTAACCGCGCAATTTACCTAATTCAAAAGGTTTTACTCTGTTGCCCTTGAATTGTCTGAAGCAAAAATGTACTCTTGTTAGCAAGTCATTTGGGAAAACAGCTACACATTTCTCATAATGTTCCCGAGTTAAGACAATGGCCGGACCATCAATACACTCTGCACTAATGACCTGAGCATAAGGAGTGATGAAAACTTCTCTAGGATGAGGATTTCTTAAAGAGACAACCCCTCTCACTTCCCTATTAAAGTGAAACCATCTCACTTTGACTTTTTTCTGGCCCTTCCGGTCCTCATACATATCTTCAAGATATGCAAGGTACTGATTTTCCTTTTCAGCCATGACAAAGACGAATGCATGTACCTGGAACACAGAAAAGGAAACAGACTTAACAGCTGTTAATAACAAATAGAGGTGCAGCATTTAAGAAGTCAGGTCATCTTTCTAAAGGGGTCAAGGAGGAACTTTCAAAATAGCATAAACTTGAAAAGGTTCATTCGATACATTTTATTTGTTTAAACTTTCAAGAGCTTAGATGGCAACCTATGTAAGCCAATAGGCATGATTGGGAAATGGGAGGAACAGCACAGATGAATCCATGCTTTAATTTATGGCAGTCAAGAAAACAATATGAGCACAAACACAAAGAGTGTCACTGATATTTGATAATGCCACTTGTGTAAATAAGAGCTAAATGATAATCCATGTGTAATGCCATCCATACATTTGGACACAGTTTGCAATTTTATTTTTATGACAAAGCTAACAGGACTAGTTGACAATTTGTCATCATTAAAATTAGAGGGAACAAATCAGAAGGCAATTAATTTGCTATCCCACAACTGATGTCAGACTCTAACACCTCACATGCCCAAAACGGAACATCTGGAGAGTGGATGAAAGATACAACATGGGGACCCAACATCAACTAAACACTTAATTAGGTTTGTCTCTGTTGTAAAGAAAAAGAACATTGAGCCAAATACAACCCCAAATCTAGTTTTGAGGGTGAGCATTGCTCAAAACTATATAAGGAGACTAGTTTCCCGTTCCACAATGATGGGCGACTCCAAAAATACATTATATATTAGCCTTCTTAACAAGTATGTTCCTGGAATAAGTTTGTTCAGCATCTAAGAAATTTTGAAGTGGAACATCTTAAGCATGTCAAGTAAAAACTTCATTGTGAGACATTCATCTAATTGTCAGTCCAGTAAACTTACAGCAATTGTAATCCCATTCCGGGAAAATGTTGGGTAGTGTTTGAGCTGTTTACTACATATCCATGGTTCACCTGACCAAACTATGTCGGAAGAATGAACTCTCAAGTTTCTTGTGATGGAAACCTGTCATAAAAGATCAGTCAGACATGTCAAAAATCAAGGAAATGACATGTTAGAGGTGTGAGAACTCGCACCTTGTTACTTGTCATATCTGTTGATTGGACACTGAATAATGGAGACATAGGGTCATCTTTCGGTGATTCTGCCATTACATGGAGCACACGTCAAGCTTTTGTTTTTTCCTTCACAGCTATTCTAGACAGTTTTGCTTGCAAATATATACTCTAAAAGTTCAGTAATTTAGAAGTTACAGATATCACATGTAAAGCATCTCCAGCAGACACTCTATTATTGTTTAGACTACATGGGAAGATGAACTAGAGTAAAACCAACATTGCTGGGAATCTGAAAAGAAAAATAACAGTTGTATAAAGCTCAAAGACTGATACCCCTGCAGTAGAGGCCAAACCCAGGCAGTAGGTAAGGATAGAAAAAGTTCATCAAAAAGGCCATTTCCAAGTACTATGTTGCATAACAGCAAATACACAAGAACTTCATTTGTTCTATTCTAATGGAACTTACATGATGTGAATGTCATAGCGAAAGTCAAAACAAATGAATTCGTGAAATACTTTTCGGTCGTCTTTTAGTTCTTGTGCTAAAGAAAACATTTTCACTGTCCTAATTTCCTGAATCCAGAAGGTGAACCGTCTTTTATAATACATTGCTTAGACAAAGTTGTGCAGTAACCCATCACCGAAGATTAAGAAGGCCAACTTCAGGGAAACCAAAATAGACCTTATGACATAGCATATATAAAGCTAATTAGCATAAGTACTTCATTAATCTAATTGGAATTTGATAGTACATACTTGGAAAAACTTGCAGAGTAGCTACATCACATTAAAGATTAAAGGCCAACTTCAGGGATATCAAATAGACCTCATGACATGGGATATGAAAAGCTAATTGGCATGAGTACTTATTTAATCTAAATGGAATTTGATAGTATAACTTGGCCCGTAGCATTGATTTCCCATAACAATGGGATAGCTATTTCTCAATAACCTATCCTATGTTCGAGAAGGCCCCTCAGTTCCTCAGCAGTACCTGAGGTGCATTTACTTGTCTCACATGAGACGAGCTATTCCCTACTCCATGGAAAGAACATATCCCGAGTAGTCCCACGAAGTGAGGTCTATGGAGGATAGAGTGTAACCAGATCTAACACCTATCTTAGAGGTAGAAAGGTTGTTTCCAATACACCCTCGACTCAAGGAAAACGGTTCCAAAACAGTCCACAAATAGAAGCAAGGGAAGTACAAGAAACAACAGATAATAACAAAAAACAACAGAAAATAAAATACGACAGTCGATAGCAAGTGCTTACTTGAAAAATCACTTTGTAAGTGTTGTTTTGATAGCATAGATGTGAGCCAATTCACCACTTCTCTCCTTGACCTCCATCTGAAGCCAGCATAGACAGAGTCCTCACCTGCATAAGCTTTCAAGAACTCTTCGGAGACGACATAAAACATATGCCTAACACTCCTCTCAGTTCCCACAACAGCAAGAATAAATTCCCCTGAAATATCCTTCAAGAAATAATGAACCACGCGATGTCCCCTCTCCTTAGAAACAAATTGTTCCTTCCATTCCACAAAACAATGGTCATTGCTACTACCCATCTTCTGAAAACTACCCAAAATAAGATCTTTTCACCTCTAAAGCACCATATCCAGCCTCACATAAACCCTAATCTGTAAACTTCAAGCACTATGCCCCATACCAAAACTAAACCCCCGAAGACACAACCTTAAATCACCTCAACTACTACCCCAAAGGTCAATCAATTTACAAAAGACACAATCTTGATAATCTACTCTGAAGCCCCACCATAAATTTAGCTTCTGGGAACTCAAACAAACAATAGGTATCTGAAAAAACTCTAAACCAACACTCCTCTA